GAGGACTACAGTGTTGGTAAAGTGTGGTAAACATAAACACATAACATCCGCCCTGCCCCCTATCCAATCAGAAACCTTCCCTGCCCCAAACTTTGCGCAGACCCAAATACAGGTGATTAAAAGGCAATTAAACTGATCTCCGTGTAAACCCTCATTCGGAATGAATATTTCCCATGTAAACTACCTTTAATTCCGAATGATTTCATTCGGATTTATTTCATTCTGAATGAGAAGCCATCATGTAACTGCACCCATTGTCAAGCCAGTCAGATCATGTGGTATTCCATATAATAGGAACAGCACATTCAAGATAATTTGCTTGCCTTGATGATGTGTTGGAGATTTGAGTTCAACCATCCTGCATCTAATGGCTCCTGCTTTATACAAATTCTCCAACTAACTAATTGGGGAGTACTGTTGCAGTGAGGTGGGGTAGTTGGTCTGCAACAGTGTTTGAGTGGGTGGAACATGTCAGGTGGAATCCACATGAATGCCTGAACCAAAGGTTTCCCAGCAGAACAATGCATTGGAACAGAATAATCAAAATTATTCACCTCACCTGTCAGTGGTTTCAGTGTTTGTGGCTGGTCGCTGTTGTTTAACAGTGCCCAATGGTGTCGGGGGAAACAACAAAAGTTAAGGTAGCGGAAGTCAAGAGTAGGGTGGATGGGAGGGCTGGTGGATGGGTCCAACTACCACTGACTTTCACCTGGGAGGCTGTCTGGGAGGCAATCCCGTAAAATTGTAAAGCCAAACCCTGTTGTTTTGTCCCGAACCCAGTCATGTGGCTTAATGTAACCACTTGCGTTTGTTGTTGAAGGAAAAAAAATGTCAATTTGTGGTATTGTACTGACATATTGCATATATTTTGAAAGAGACTATATGCAAACTGTATATTTCCTGTGAAAACGGAAGTGTATTCTGAGAACAGACAATCCATGAAGTTGACACAGCGTTCCAGAGACGTCATTTGTCCCCATGGGGAAATTGGTTTTCAGTATAAACAAAAAGGCATTTCATCACAACATCATAAGTCACCATACATATACCAGTATCATAAAGGTTATGTTTGAGAGAGAGAGAGAGCGAGAGAGAGAGAGGCCGACTGATGATGTCATGTTATTGGAGGACGTGTTGAAACATCACAAAGTCTTCAAAAAAAAAAGAACATTTTAATTCAAGTCTGTTATTTGAAAATAAACCTTTCAGTTGAACATATTTTGCCTGCCTATTTGTTTGGCTGACATCTTTTCTAATCACTGAGATAACACTAAAAAAATCAAAGTAACTTTGCAAATAGCAAGCTACTTTTGCCATTATCTTGTAACTTAGTTTGCTACATTTCTATGCACATAGCTTCGGTGTAGTGGAACTTTATTTTGATGTAGAGTAGCTGGTAGCTCAGCTCACTACATTTGCCAAGCACCTTGTCCAACACTGCTAGTGCATTACCTGTTTTAAAACTAAAATAGCTTGTGGAGCAAATGAAAACTTGGCTCTATGTTTAGTGAACAGAGGGGGGCAATATCAATATCGTCGCCCAGATGGCAGTAGATAAAATGCAGAGACAAGGGGGTGCCTCACGACACAAACTATTGTTTGCCTTCTTCATCATTTTGTCTCTGTAGGTGCATTCCATACTTGGTAAAGTAATCCATAAATAGTTTACTGGCTGTTGTAACAGTTTAATCTGCGTTTTCTGGTTTTTTCTGTGCTTCAGTAGCATTACCAAACCAGCAGATGATGCAGGAGGATAAAACACTTTCAGTAAAAGCACTGAGGCAGTCTGAGCATTTTGATATGGACATGAAAAGATCATTTCCTTAGAAAGTGCATTTTTTGTTGTGTCTAAGTGCTTATGAGGTCAGTCCACAGATCCCATATAAGCTTGTGGTTGGCCACAATGCCAAGGTACTTGTAATCTGTAACACACTGTATTGGCTTCCCATCGATAAAAGTAGGGAGAGAGGATTGCAGCCTTCTAAAATCTATGGACATTTATTTTGTTTGAAAGGTGTGTAGGAGTACATTTGACTTGTCATACCAATTTAGGAAGTAGTCAAGAATTGTGTCCTCCTCTTACATCCTATGAAATGGTATTTTCCAAAACATATTTGGCTTTGAGTTCAAATATGTAGATAGCTAATGGTTGGATTGAAATTTAATTTAGATATCTATGATCCCCAGAAAATGATTCCAGTGACCCATGTGATTCCCTGACTTTTCATCTAGAGCCATCATAAAGTCAAAGTTTACACTTAGCCACACAAATATAAGGACATTTACTAGAATGGATTTTGGATCTTACTATATCTTACTATCTTATTTTATCTTATCTTACTATATCTTACTATGCAATGATGAAAACTACTCTGTTTGTCTGTGGGTATGTGTGTGGGTGTGTCTGTTCCACTTTTTTCTCCTCACTGACTTGGTCAATCCCTGTGAAATTTGGCACAGCGGTAGAGGGTCATGGGAGTAATGAAGCAATATTACATCAATTGGCACTATACTGTAGCAACCAATTGAAATTGCAAACTTTGAATGGGCATATCTCATGCCCCATATGTCGTAGAGACATGAAACTTTGCACAGAGATGCCTCTCCTCATGAGGAACACATTTGCCTCAGAACCCATAACTTCTGGTTATATAGATTTTCCGCCATTTTGAATTTTTTGAAAAACACTTAAAATTTATCTCTTCCTATTAAGTTTGACCGATCTGCATGAAACTCGGTGAACATAATCTAGGGACCAATATCTAAAGTTCCCTTTTGGAAAAACTGGAAAACTTACTAACTAACTACTAAACTAAAACTTAATAAAACTGAGCTTTGATAAGGCAATGACTTTAGCTATCTGACTTTCAACATGCTACCTCAACTACAAATGTACAGTTTTAGCCCACTAACTATCCCACTATTGGCAATGGTACTACTGTACTTTCAATAAAGCAATCGTACTATCAAATTCACAAAAACTCTGTCTGAATACATTGCTCTTCTTAATGGGTTCAGTTGACTATTTAATCTGCAATTTCCTATGACCTGTATCCCAAACACACACCATGTGAATCTGTACGTGGGCAACTGTGCACTCAATGGGTATGGACTAGTTGAAATTTAATTTAGATATCTATGGTCCCCAGAAGATGATTCCAGTGACCCATGTGATTCCCTGACTTTTTATCTAGAGCCATCATAAAGTCAAAATTTACACTTATCCACACAAATATGAGGACATTTACTAGAATGGATTTTGTGCTGACATTCATGGTCCCCACAGAATGGGTATTTAATGAAACTGGTGTTCCTCCAAGTTTTCCTCTCGCACCATGAGTAGGTTGACATTTTTTGTCCAGACTGAAATGTCTCAACAACTGTTAATGGATGGATTGGAATTTGATACACACATTCATTATCCCATTATGACCAAACACCTGTAGAACTAATGACATCCCCATCGGCCTCAGCTGTACTTCATGTTTAATGCTAATCAGCAAATGCTAACACACTGATCTAAGATGTGATCATTGTAAACATCGGCGTTGCATCAGCATGTTAGCATTGTCATTGTGAGCTTGTTAGCATGTTGACATTTGTGGCTAATGTGGTTGTTAACTTTTAGCCATGTTGTATAAACAACTGCAAACTTTCCGTGAGATCATATTTAAGTATTAGCTGTGTAAATGTGTACAATACTTTCAGCTAAGCACTTCTTCTTGCAATAGTGCTTATTTCCTCATATTTAACCACATCCAGTCTGTATATGGTGTGTCTAGTGAGAAACTCAATAAAGCTTTTATGTGCCAGAAATTCCTTTGTTGCTTAATACTGTTCTGAGAGCAGCTAGTACATTCATATATCGGTTTGGGAGTCAAAGACTACAACAGGGCAATTTTAGGATTAGTTGGCTTAACTAGAAAAATCAACAATGGGATTCTGAGCTGAATGTGAGGATTAAGCTTGAGTGGGCTGCTAAACATCTGAAAAACATGCCAATCAAGGCCCTATGAGGGGAAACTGGATATAATGACAGCTAAAAGTAACATGAACAGACAAGACTGATGCAAGGCCCAGACATCAGTTTGCTGCAGCTCTCAGGCACCGTTGATGGCAGTGAACTAATATGCTGTTTTAGGATAAGGCTGTATGATGCTTAAAGGGATAGTTTGGATCTTTTGTAGGGTTGTATGAGGTACGTATCCATAGTGAGTGTATTACATATAGTAAATGTCTGTCAGCATGCCCTCAGTCTGGAGAACCAGGTAGAAGTACTGACACAGAAGCTGCAAGAAATGTGTTGCTGTAGACAGTGGCAGCAGCAAAATGTATTTTAGCCACCTAAAAAAATCAATATCAGTGTAAGTGAACAGTATATTTAGAATATTTTCAGTGCTTTCGCTGCTTGCTGTCAGACAGCAATTCCTGTCAGGGAACTGAAGCTGTTATGTGCTCTCTTTAAAGCCAAACCCTCTGAATATAGCAGCTACTGATCTACCAGTGCCTCCATTAATTAGTATGTTAGTTTGTGTTGTTGTGTGACTTTGGTGAATCCAAAGTCACACAACACAAACTGGTCGAAACAGCAGTAGACCAACAGCTCCTGTGTTGAGTGAGCTGCTTTCCGGCCACCAGATGGCGCTATTTTCACCGTCTCATTAGGGACCTCGGCCGAAGGACGAATCCCTCTTGTTAGAAATTGGAATTGCTGCTGAGGCTGTCAGACGATAGACTTTTTTATTATTTTATCCACTTTGCTTCAACCGATCACCACCAAAATTTTATCATATGTTCCTTGTCCCATTATCCACCTTTCTGTTCATAACTTTTTGAGTTATTTTGCAGACAAACAAACAGACAAACAAACAGACCAACGCCGGTGAAAACATAACCTCCTTGGCGGAGGTAAAAATAAACAGCTTGAGTTGCATTGACATTTGACATTAATGAACTTGGTTCAGATGTGATATTTTATATTCTTTTTTTTTCTTGTTCAGATGCATTAGCTGGCTACATCAGACAGCTGGAGAACAAGATGAGAGTACTGGAAGAAGAAAACCAACAGCTGCTGTCACAGGTAAATACTGCCACTTATCACTGTGCACAGTGTAAACTCTTGATGCAGACAGCTATGGCGCACATTGGAAAATGATTAGGCAGTAGTATACTGTGTATACTTTGCATGGGATTTAAAGTAAAAGATGCAACAACACTGGTAATCGTAAGTGCTAATATCGTGGGCAACTGGACTTGCTTGCGTTCTTGAAGACGTTTCGCCTCTCATCCAAGAAGGTTCTTCAGTTCCAAATGACTGGTACGAAGTTGCAGTATATAAACCCTGTGTGGGTGGGAACCCTTGCAGAGTCGTAGGGGGTCAAGCAAGGGTTCTGGTTCACATAGTTCTGGGGGTATTCCATCAAGCAGGCTAAAGGCAAATCCAGGCTTAATTGGCCAAGTCTGGCTAATGTGAGCCAGAGTTCTGTTCCATCAAAGTGGTTAAGATTAGCCTCACATTGGTAACCATGGAAACCATGGTTCTGGCTTAGCCTGATATGTCGAGCTAAACTCCGGTTTCCGTTCCATCAAACTGAGCCACAACTCTGTTCCATCAAGGTGGTTAACCTAAATCCCAGCCTAGTAACCATGGTAACTTATGCTGCTGGGCAATCCTGGTCTGTAGCAGGATTAAGGTGAGGATTAGCTCCATCTATGATTAAAAAAGGTTCAATAGACAAGAACAGACACCTAAAAGACAGTTCTGCCAGTGCTTTTACACACTCACAACTGTCATGTAATGATAAAGTAATATGTAGATCATAAAATATATAACATAATTAATAAAAAAAAAACTATTAAAAAACAAATTAAAATGTAAGAAAAAATAAGATAATTAAAAAAAAACACTTACAGTAAAGCCAAAATCAATTTAATAAAAACAAAACTATAATAAAATGAAACTGAGGCATTAGAAAAAGATTGTACATGAATATGTGATTGCCCCCCCATCCCCACCCCACTCTGTTTCCAATTGGCTAGCGAATTCACAGCCAATTAAGGTCAACTGACAACGGCCAGAGAAGGAGAGGGACACACCCAGAGAGACACAGAGAGAGTAAATTAGAAATACAGACAGACTCCTATCTGTGGGAGAGGTACCAGTTCAGCAGGCAAAGCATAGTGTATTTATGCAGTTTGCTGGAACCACACATTATAAAGGTCACATGCTGCAGCCTGTCTCTGACCACTGTGCAGTCAGTCTGTATTGCACTGAGGTTCTTTGCTAGCGGTACATTCCTGTATAGTGTTGGTGATGCTGAGAGGCTAAGTAAGGCAACTGTTTGCAGAGAGGTAAAAAGGGTGTATTTTTTATTCATTTTGATTATTTCTAGCATCACCATACATCATGCATAGGGCTTGATTTGTTCACATTAACATATGGTTATCTTTTATATTTATGAATTAACCTTGACACAAAGCAACCACATTAAAATGGGACACACATCATTGTGGTTTGTCTGTTCCTCATCCTATAGCACATTCCATACATTTAAGGGGAATTCCCTTATTTTGATATAATGAGGAATAGAGCTTACAATTGACTCCCAAATGATGAGAAATAGATAATTGATTCACTATCACCTGCATTCACTTCATAGGTTTCCTCATCTCCACCGAATTGATGGATTTGCTAAATGGAATTTTCTACAATCAGTAGATAAATGTAATGTGATTATTTCCTACAAACTGATCATTTCGGAAATGTCATAATCTACAATCAATTTTGTGAAAAATGCGATGATTCACAAAAAATAGTTTGATTAAATGCATCATCTGAACTTTACATAGGAATCAGTAGATAAATGTGATAAATAGTCTTTCACTAATATTGATTTATACATTTGGTGAATTTCATTAGGCATACTTGAATTGTTAGATTTAATAGGTGTTCTTATCTACATATATTTTGTCCCTTTGATGCGGGATTTATATAACATGATATTATGCTGAAATGCTGAATTTTCTTTGTCACTTGCGCATTAAGCCTGTCAGCAATATTCTGCCACGACACCTCCCTTGCTTTATTAATTGCTGCAGTATTGCCTTTTTCTTAATTATGTCCTTATAGTCCTCATACACTTCCATAAGGAGCGTTTGCTCCGCCGTAGAAAAAGCCTCCGCTTGCTCGTTTCCTTTGTTTTTTGACATTTTGTAACATTTTCGGCACTCGACTAGTTTGGGCTTTTTATTTTCCCTGGGCGCATGCATGAGTTGAGGCTTAACAGGTGAGGCTTGAATTAGCGTCAATTGGAGCCAGCTGATTTCACTTGATATAACGGGTTGGAGCTAGATTGGGAGTTGGCGTTTAGTCAAGCTTCAAGATTACACCTTAATCTGGATATTCTTAGCTACGTTGATGGAATACCCCCCTGGTGGTAGAAATAGTATGTACACATACAGAGTAAACACAATAAGGGTGACTTCTGTTGGTCTGAAATATTGTTATTTCTGTTGTCAATTTTAAATGTCTCTTTCTTTTTCTCACTCTCTCTCAGATGAATGAAGGGGAAGGAAATACACTGGGGAAGGGTTTGTCCCTTTATCATTCAGAAACTCAGCTCTCACAATTCCAGGACAATGTACACAGTGTATGTACACCGTAGACAACAGTGTGTTTGTCTGTTGCTTGTCTCTCTCTTTTTCCTCAGCCAAACATGTCTGCCTGCGCTCTCTCCATCTTTCAGTTTAATTCAGTTCAGTTGTATTCAGTTTGTGCTTCATTCAAATGTCCCCACACAGAGGAATTACATGCATTTCCCTTTATGAGGGACAACAATCACTACACACCCAAGCTGAAATTACAAGACTCTGTTTTACTTTATTTCACTAAGAACCACAAAAATAACCCCATAAAGCCACATCTGTCAAATAAATACATTCTACTTTGTCTGACAGTGAACTTGTAAACTCATTACTATTCACTTCAAAACTGAAACTGTATCTTTGTTTTCTGTTTGTCCACATAACCATAAATTAATAGTTTGATAATTGAGTTAGACATCAAGATCAACACTGCTATCATATCTGTCCTGTAATATGCAGCTATACCCAGCAGACAGTTAGCCTAGCTTAGCATAAAGACTGGAAACAATGAGAAGCAGCTAACCTGGCTAAGTCTAAACATAACACAATCCACCTACCAGCCCCTTTAAAGCTTCCTGATCAAGGGCACAGTCACATGTGAGCAAAATTAACATTAGAAAATATTTGCCTCTCGTTCACTTCAATTCAGCGCAGTTCTCAATATCGCCCAGGGCAGCCAATGGGCTAGAGCCGGCCCTGGCATGGAACATAAGACAATGTAAAATGTAACAACAACTTCATATTTCACTGTATTTATTAGCAAGCTAGCAAACGTTAGCTAGCAAGCTCATGTGTGACCATGCCCCAACACTCTGCTGGTTGCTTAGCAACTTAAGTGACTGTGCCTGGCCAGGAAATAGTACCCCTCTAAGGACCGCCACCTGTTGTTTTTGCACTTCAGTTTTTGTATGGGTTAAACAAATATCCAGTCTTGATGCTAAGCTAAGCTCACTGATAAGCTCACTGATATTTGATAAAGATGAGAGTTATTATTTCTTAAATCTCTCATCAAAAAAAGGAAATAAGCGTGGTTCCCAAAATGTTGAACTTGTCCTTTAAATAATGCTGACTTTTCTGAGCCATTCTGAACCATGGCCAATTGCTCACCTTCTGATTAAACTCTTGCTTCAGTAGTAACCACTGGAGTGAATCAGTGACAAACCCCTCTGTGATTTTTTACAGTCGCTCACAGAACCTTTCTGGCATTACCTGAGGTGCAGTATCATTGCTGGCAGCTGCACTGACATAATTACAATCTACGGAAAATGTGAGCTCCCTACAGCAGATGCAGGACATCCTATCTCACCTATTGATGAGTCTGACCGGTAGATTGATCCTCTCCTGCTTTACTGCAAACACAGCAGGTCTGCTGCGCCTTCTGTCGGCATGGGAATACATACCTCCCTGCCTCAGCAATGCTACTGCCTCCGCACACAGCATCTCCTGTAAAATCTCTCTCTGTCTTCTACTGAGTTATCTTTCTCTTTTTTACTGCTGGTTGTTGCAACAGTATGCCTCTGCATTAATCCCTGTCGGTTTACTTGGTGATTACAATCATTGTAATCAGATGGTGCCACCTCCCTCCACAGGGTGCTGCTCAGACCCCCAGCAGTGAACCGTCCTCCACAGGGCTCTACCCCCCGCCAAAACAGAAACCAGAAGCTATAGTCCACGCAATGAAGGTAGGCCACAAACTAGCCTGTGTGAGCAGTTTTAGGCTGTGTAGAAGTCTGTGACTTAGCAGGTATCTTGGGCAAAATAAACCCAGGTATATATTTAAGCTAATTATGTAAAAAAAGAAGTATCACTTCCATTGTTTTCTATTGTCTACAAAGCGCTAGATGCTTTTGTTCAGGTAAATGTATGCTATATCCACTGACTGTCAGTCTCAAGTTTCCCATACAGGGTCCAAGTTTTTGACATAGTGAAAGTAAGGGTTAATATCATCAGGGCTAAGTATCTTTTCACTTTCTCTAAATACGAACTTGCACGTTCCTTATCTGCTATATACATACTTTGCATTCCTGTACACCACTCTTCTCATAGATACTACAGATCATGCACCTGCTCACCTTATCATTGTAACCTTGTCAAAGGGGCCCTGTGGAGCTGCCAGTCAGGTTCTAGCAGGACTGAATTCATCTCTGGACTTCTTTGTTTTCACTGAGACTTGGATCACACCAGAGGACACTTCCACCCCAGCAGCCCTCTCCTCGGCCTACTCCTTCACTGAAATACCCAGACCAGTGGCACTGGTTCACTAACCAACCTAAAACTGTGATTTTAACTCTTCTTGCTTCCACACTTCAATCCCTCTTTTTTCTATTCTGTGTCAATACTGTGTCTATTCCCTGCTTAAACATTGTTGTGCTCTACTGGAATTCTTTGAGGAATTAGATGTCCTTCTATCAAACACCCTCTATCTTCTCTTCTCTATCTACTCTACACTACAAGACTGCCCTCCTTGTCATCACAGAGGAACTCCACAATGCTAGAGCAGCCTTCCTCTTCTATGTTGTCATCCTGCTGGACTTTTCAGTAGCATTTGAGAGTGTGAACCATCAGATCCTCCTCTCCACCCTCCAAGAACTGGGTATTTCAGGCTCTTCGTTCTCTTGTTCACAATCTATATTAAGGGCCACACTCACAAGAAAATGGAAAATCTGTGTCTGAACTGTGTAGCCACACAACTGGAGTCCCTCATGGTTCTGTTCTGGTAACCTCCTCTTTTTGTCATTATACCAAATCACTTGGCTCCATTATTTATTCTCATGGCTTTTCCAACCATTGCTATAGAGATGACACTCAAATAATTCTTTCTTCTCCCGGGTCTAAAACTCAAGTGACAGCACAAATCTCTGCTTGTATGGCTGACATCTCTCAGTGGATATCTGCACACCACCTGAACCTCTGCAAGACTGAGCCATTCTTCCCCCCAAGGAAGGCATCATCTGCCTGTGACCTCTCCATCACCACTGAGAACTCTGTGGTCAATCATTCAATCAGTTTTATTTATAAAGCCCAATATCACAAATCACAATTTGCCTCACAGGGCTTTACAGCATACGACATCCCTCTGTCCTTAGGATCCTCACAGCGGATAAGGAAAACTCCCCCAAAAAAACCCTTTAACGGGGTGTGGTGTCCTCAGCTAGGATTGATGATCATGACACTGGATGAGCTGTTCTTCGCTGCCAATATTACTGCAACAACCTGCTCTTGCTGATTCTTCTCCATAACGTCAAGAGGATGCGTCCACCCTTTTCCCAGGAGGTGGCACAGTTTCTCAACTCATCCAGGATGTAGCTGTCTGGCTGGTTTTCAACCAACCAAAGTTGTCCCACACTACCTCACTCCTCCACACCCTGCACTGGCTACACTGCTGGCTTCTTTAATTTGATTTAAGACACTGGTACTTGCCCATTGTGCTCAGGCCCATCCTACATCAAGGACATAGTCATACCATAAAGCCCAGGCCGTCCACTACACTGCTACTGCCAATGGGCCTGCCACTCCCTCACTATGAGGGAATAGAAAAGAGGGAAATGAAAAGTGATCCACGGTTTAGTCCACATTTACATCTGTTGTGCTAACTGTGTGAACAGTTTAGAAAAAATGAACTCAAAAACTGTAAATACTTTTACCCTGTAGCTTAATATATTAAGAATAACTTTGAAATGTTGAATGAAAACTACATAATACAGTGCATCAACAGAAACGGACATGATGCTGTTTTATTGTGTATTTTATGTCTGTGTGAAGGTGTTGGAGGTCCATGAGAAGCTGGACAGGCAGCGCACACAGGAATATGATGAAGATCTTAACGAGAAAGAGAAGGCCATTGTCAGAGAGATGTGCAATGTAGGTTCCAATATGAACTTTCTTTCTCTCTCTCTTCTTTCTTTCAAACAAATCTTGACAGAAATGCACCCACTCACAATCTTACTGGTCCATCATGCTGGGGGGTGCAGGGAGCGGTAAACCAAGTATTAACACTAAACCAAGTTATATGCAATCTATTGTGTTAGATAATGATATTCTATCAGATTAATGCAATTTTAAGTTAGAAAAAATAAATAAATAAAAAAAGTCTATGTATTTTTACTGTCTATGAGTACTTCATTGCAGTGATGTGATGCTCACACTGTGACAAATATTAAAACCCAAGACTCCATGTTTTTTATGGCTGCTCAACTAAAACAAATGGAAATATTCACTTTCCCAAAAATTCAGTCTGGCGTCTTTTAGAAAAGTTTGGATCTTTCTAGAGTTCAAAGTGAAGTTCTCTGGGTTTGATTAAAGTCTGCCCACACGAAATGTGTTTCTGGATGGTCTTTATTGTGCTGTATGGGAAATTTGGCCTGCAGCATCAAAAAGATTTGCAATGCAACCCAAAAGTATGTTATAAACAAGGATTGAGCCAACTACAGCATATGCCACCATATGAAATAGATTGGTGTACAGTATGTATAAAACAGAAATGCATACAGTCTAATAATACTGCGCTAATTTTTAAACATTTAATTTACAAAACAAACAAAAAATGTAGTTAAAGTGGTATGTTAGTGGTTGGGTCGTGGTCACTCTTATCTTGTGATGATCTAGTGCATTCAACCACAGAGTGAAACAAAAGACACTTTAATAAGACAGACACCCTCTCTCTCACTTTTACACACATACACAAATATTAATGTTTTTTTTGTCCAGCATTTATGTTCACATTGAACACTTACATTTGTTTCGTTTGGTAAATACCAGAGCAAGTGTGTGAGGGCAAATAAACTTAAAGTTAAAAGATATGGCTGCCATTATTCTAAATGTTTGTCTTTGTCAAAAAAATCCATGAAAAGACAAAAATTAACAATGTGTTGGTCCATCTCTCAATACTTTCTGACTTCCTGTCTGTTGCTGTCACCTCCAAGCCCATTGGTTTCTACTGGAGATGTGTATCTTAATAGGAATACTTCACACATCAGATTATCATTTGCATATCAGTTACTCACCCTGTGTTATGTTGAATTCGTAAGGAAGTCTTTGTTTTTCTTGCATGCTTGTGGTGAACAAAGAATCCAAAAACTGAGAAAATTCTTTATAAACTAAAAGAGCTCCGTTTTTAACAACAGCAAAACTTTGTCAAAATGTCCATTTTTAAACTCTCACATAACTCGTACAGTATAATCCCTAATCTCATTTATTCAGTCGATGCTCAGTACTTCCCAAACAGACAGCCCTTTCTGATGGGGAACTGAATGGAAAGTGAAACTAAACTATGCTCTCTTCAGAGCCAGACTCCATTGACAAAAACAGTAGTTTTACTTCACTGAACACAGGAGCTGTTGGTCCACTGCTGACTCAATCAGCTTCTTTGTGTTATGTTGTGACTCTGGAGTTCCAAAGGGTCAGTTTGGGTCACCAAAGTCACACAGATGCATAAACTAACTACCAATAGAGGGGGGTAGACCAACAACTCCCGTGTTCAGCGAGGGGAAATTAGTGCTTTTGTCAATGGAGTCTGGCTTTGAAGAGAGCGTAGATGATTTAACTTTCAGTTCAGTTCCCCATCCAAGAGGGCTGTCTGTTTGGGAACTACTAAGCATAGGACTGGATAAATGAGACATGAATTATACTGCAAGAGCTGTGTGAGAGTTTGACAACAGATGTTTTGCTGTTGTCAGACGCACACCTCTATGACTTAAATTCAACAAGTATTTTCTCCGCTTTTGGATTCTTCTTTCACCGTTGAGTCATGTGAGAAAAATGAATTTGTCTTTATGAATTCAACGTAACAGTGGGGTGAACAATTGATATACAAATGGTCATTTTGTGGGTGAGCTATCTGTTGAAAAAGATTGAACTCATGATGTAATCTATAATTTACTGATCTGCAGCTTGCGCGGCATCTTCCTTTCTGACACGGCCACCAAAGAATCAAGGTCCAACCCAAAAACAGATTCAGATTCTTCTAATAATATATGTATATGCTTATTTCCACTACAGCCCTAATGTCCTCTAATCCTTACTTATTCCTGTAGGATAAAATTTAATTCATCCCAAAGGTTTTTTTCTTCTTTGCCAAAGATGAATAGTATACAAAGTGAAGTAAATTAAGATTTACATAGTATTATGTAGATATATATTATCTATACATCTATATTGTATAATAGAAATATGTATTCTTCTGGAACGGGGGAGATAAAAAATACAAATGACAGTCCAATACATGGGTGAAAGTGTATGGATGGAAGAAAGATAGGGAAAAAAACAAAGCCAGTTTACAATGCAAAACTTTACAAAAGATACATTAGTGTTACAATGTTACAAATCACAGGCACAGGAGTGTGAATGGGGGGAACATCCTATGTATTGTATTAGCGGATGCTACACAATGCATGTTAGCAGATATGATACACACAGCAGAGGACTGAGTTTGAGGTATACGGTGTAAACCTTCTGCAGTGTTGCAATTGTTGTCCTGTTTTATAACACATTTATGAGTGCCACTTTCTGCCATAAAGTGTTCGCTGTGACAGACTCTCTGAGGGTTGTCACACTGTCATTTACTCTGATGTTACCATCTGACACTGTTGTTTCTCCCTCTCAGGTGGTTTGGAGAAAGCTGGGTGACGCTGCTGGATCCAAGCCTTCCATCCGACAGCAGCTTTCAGGCAACCACTTTAAAGGCCCTTTATAGTTGTCAGCCACCAAGTGAAGCTACCAGTGGTCCCAACACCCCTACAATACTACTTTGGACTGGAAGCTTTTCAGCACAGTGTTTTGTCTCTTGGCTGCAAAACTACAGCCTCCTTAGCTTGAACCAAATTGAGTCATAATGGATATTCAGCTCAGTACCAGGACACACTTAAATGGCAACACTGAAAGACTGGCAACTTGGGGTACAGACATGGACTGTATGGAGCCTTTAAAGCCTTCAGCTTCTTGGAGGCGGAAAATCCAAATGTGAGAAATGTGACCGAGGTCTGGTTGTAACTCAAACGCAAGTGGCAGTCACCATGGCTTAGTGTGATAGGCTGAGACATCGGCCAATCAGACAAACACAACAGAAACTCTCCCTTTAAGCCTTAATATCTCCAAAATGGCTCAATAATTTGCAAGATGACAGCATTGATATGGGATATATATAAATTAGTGTAGGAAAATGTTGCTCTGTGTTTGAAGAGAGATGTTGGATGTTTTCCAAATTGACTTCAAAGTTTCAAGTGGTCACTGAACGCTCAAGGCATGTCTTAGCTTCTCCACTTAGCTGTGGTGGCTCCTACAGAGAAAAAAAGCACCAAATAGCAGTCCCTCCAGAAAATCGCGATCTTGCAATCACAATAATTAACGCAAATTCAACGAAAGTCCACAATATTTGCAGGGGCTTGCAATTTCTCAAAAGTCCAGTGATTTTTCCGTGTTTTTCTGCATTTTCAGTCATCAGACGCGTCATCAAATGCGCTAATGACATTGCAGTATGGAGAAACGCTTTGTATTGACATAAGAATTTGCACTGTTTAAATGCTTACAATATGTGTTGAATTTATTAAAATGTTATGTTTACAGAAGATGTAGCTTACATGTTGTTTTACAGTCACATTGTCTGGTTTGAGAGCTACAATATTCACTCAAGCATTATTGGAGTATTGAAACTAATTAAATAAAACTGAAGAAGAGAACTATAAAAACATTTGCAGCTATTTTTGTAATATTCAGTATGATTATTATAGCAAGTGATTACATGGCTTATTTTTTGGAGGTAGTCATTTAAAAAAAAATCACATTTTTTCTCCATTTGCCGCAATTTCCCGCAAAAAATCACATAAAAATGCCACAACTTTTATCACAATTTTTGACAAAATTTGCTGCAAATTCAAGGTTCTTTTGTCGCGAGATCCTGGAGGGACTGAAATAGTAGTGCTTTGCGCTGGAGGGGTGCACTCCAATAGCCACGCATTCACACAGCCACCCATCAGCTCTGTAGGAACCTCTGTTTATGTCTTGATGAACAAAAGGAAGCTATGTATTTCAATAGTTCATGTTCTTTTATTCTGTTTGGACTTATTGATCGTGTTTACAGTGTGGATGTACAGGAAGAATTCAAAAAGTCTATGAAGGACTGAGGTTAATGTGTTCATGTCAGAGCCATGAACCACAGAAACTGTCCACCATTTGAGTCACAACTTTAAAGTTCATCTATTGATCAGCCTGTTGGAGGATCACATGCAAGTTATCTTATGAACTGAAGATGAACCAAAGTTTATCATCTTCTTTTAATGCTTATTTTTAAAACAGCATTTTTAAACACTGCTGGCTCTTGTTTCAAACCTTTTGTACATAAATATAATCAAAGTCAAGAATAGACAACTAAAAATCCCTACAAATGAAGCAATAAATAATCCTATTTTGGGGAATGCCACAAAGACACACAAGGACATAAAATGTTGATATTTTCAGGCGTTCACTGAAACAGTTAACTTTCCTTATTTTTTATACTTAAACCATAGAACACTTAAGTGTTTTTTTAAGTTTTGTCAGCAGAAGTCAGTGATCCAATGAAACACTCTTGATTCAAATTTATTTTAATTGATTCATAGAATTAGCAGATGAACAGATAAACAAACCACTGACTGTATAAATCAGCTGCAATTTTTTTAATTATGTCATGAAAACTAGCAATAGTTGTGTGTTTTGGTGGATTTGGCCAGCAGCAGCTTTACAACATGCTTGGCCTACGTACTGAACACACAGGAAAACTGCTACCAGCACAGGAATTTGATCAAAGAGTGGATTTTGCACTCATTCAGAGCTGGTTTCACTTCAGACTATTGTGAGATGCTTAAGAGACTTTCTGGGTAAAATGCTTGTGCTGTTGAAATCACAGTAAGATGAGTGGGTTGATACCAACTTTGTATCTGTTTGTCAATGCAGACATAGGACCAGGATATCCTATAATCTGGGTTTTGTTCAGGGTTATTATGCAAATCAGAGTGTGTACCATGAAGTGAGATTAGTGACTCAGGAAGGTATGTTGAGTCTCAAGCAAGAGTTTTCCATGTCACGAAGGTGGATCTCATTTAACCTGGCTAGATCGCCATGGTAACTCATGCTGCATGGCTAACCTGGTCAGGACCATTTTTGTTCTGAGTTTAGTCTCAGCTTAGTCACTAATCAGCTCCTTTGGAAATTGCAACACTCTATAGTCAAGAGACAATCTATGAGTGATGCAGTTTCTCAGCTGAGGGAACACATCATAAATGCAAACTTGTTGAGCTGTAAGGTTACATTAGTAGCCTGAAGAAAAAAGTCTGGGTAACACAGCAAGTTGATAACCACCATTGCAGTACCCGAAATCTGTGAATGGGGCTTTAGGGTTTGCCGAGCCAGCTAAGACAAAGAAAGCCTTGCTCTGTTGAACTTGCTTGGTGATACAGCTCACTCAACTTCACTATGAGAGTAAGTCAGTGCATGCTGCACCCATATTGATGGAGGAGGAGCAGAATGTTCCTTCTTTTTTGGTGATAAGCTAGGCAAAATGCAACCCTGGGCCCAGTTGTTAAGAAGTAATCTGATGGGATTTTGGCTAAGGGATTGGATCAAATCTTGAAAACAGATGGTTTAAAAGAAGAAAGTATTCTGAAATCAGATTAGATCACGTTATCCAGTCTTGGTTGTGATTTGTAACAAATTTTCAGTATGTGTTGTTCAAAACATTTTAGTAGGATTGGAATACCTTTGAAAAAAAGGTCCCAGTATCCTGATCCCAGTAGAAGCCTGGATTCAGGGTGGACTTCAGGAACAAAAAGTTATAAAACTTTTAAAATGGTCCAATATATATACATTTAGTTAGATTTTGCACTTGAATTGTTTGACAGTTACTATGATACAGTAGATAAATAGATAAACATTAGACTACCTTTAATGCTTTATAGTAAAGTAAAAAAAGATGTCTCCATAAAATAATCCCCCTATTAGCTGTCAAAATCAAACACAAAATATTTAGAGGCATAATCTCGAAGATCTCTGTTTCTGTCTACATTGTGATATGTAGTCCCAGTTTACTAGAGGACTGGTTATCCGGATATGGTAATCAAAAGTTTGGATCAGGGTGCTCCAGTCCAGTGTTGCTTTAGGTAGGGTTGCAACTAAGATATACCATGAGGTAAAAGTTGACGGTTATCATACCATGTACATTTCCTTATCCATGATATTGAAAAAAAAACTGCAAAGAGACACTGAATTTCCCTTCTATTATAGTTGTTTTCTTAGGGGAGACTTTTTACACTTCCATTAACAAGATAGTTTAATTTTCTTTTAGGGTCATTCTGACTGATAATAACATAAATTCTGTAATACCATGATACCGTGAAGCCGCAATATTTTCTGAGATGGTTATCGGACTGTGAAAATCTCATACCGTTACAACTTTAATAAGCACAAATGTAAAATGGATTAGCTGATCCTGAAAAGCAAAAAACGAGATTTGACAATGGATCATTCTCATCCAGATGGACATTTTTTTGAACAACTGGGCCCAGATGTTTTTTTTTACTGGAGATTAAATGCAGTCTTGTTATTGGACTGTGAGTAAGACAGTAATGTCACAGTGTTCCTTCTATGACAAAACCATATATTAGCCTTAGGGTATGATTTTGGCTAGCTCAGTTTATAAGCTAGTCTATGACAATGTTACTTTATGTTTTAACTTTAAAAAATGATAATGATATTGTCATTTTATTTTTCTTTGATCATATGATAACTCTATCCCTACTGTGGCTCTTCTGAGTGTTCATGAAAATAGACAAGCACATTACAAATGATCAAAGCTAGCAAAACAGGTAGCTACCAGAAGCTAGCCTGGGTGTCGGACTTTTCAATATATTCAATATATACCCTTGCTTCTGTTTTGTTTTTCTGCAGGGAATTTGTAAAATACTAAATGTTTGTCCAATTTATTTCATATTTTACCCACACAACCATTTGCATAAACCCCAAATTTGGCCCATTTATTCATTATCATTCATCCCTGCAGTGCTGAGTTCCACGTACTTGGGTCATAACTTAACACTTTTGTCTCAATATTCTTTCCCAGGACAATAATACTATACACTGTACAGTGATGTATTACAATTTCTGTAAGAATCATAAATTAAGTTACGTGCTTTTTGTTAATGCAACATTATTTTGATTTACAAAAATGGTGGAATTTTCTTTCAAATTATTTAAGTGGAATACATTGGTAAAAATGTTATGTGTCTGAAATTGTCTTCAAAAAATAGTTATGCTGTCCAATTTTATTTGGATAACAAAGTGTGTGCATTTATTGACACAGTAGAATCCTTAAATATTTGCAAGGTCACCATTGTTGAAAACCATCACTCCATTATACCCTATACTGCTAGCTTTTTTGAGTTTTTTTTAAGAAGACAAAGTGATGTTTAAAAAAAAAAGATATTTTTTTATGGTGACATTCAAACGCACTGCTTAATTTGTCATGGAGTTTTGGAGTTGATGGTGATGAAATGTTTCTCTGTGGCAGTGCATTTTAGAGGAAGACCAGTGCTGTTTAAAAATACATATTTCCCATACAGTAGGTAACCATGGAGTAGCATGTCTTTATATTTTTGAATAAGCTGTATGTAGCTGAAACTGTATTTTAGCAGTGTATCATAGTGATATGAAAAAAATAAAAAGCCACTTTTAGATGATGTTGAAATAAAATAAAAGTATACTTTATTTGTAAATTTGTGTTGTCATCATTGACTTTGTTGGATTTATGTGTGAAAAAGTCACAATTTGTTGGGACACAGTTAAAACCTTTCTTAGAGTTAATTTCAGTAACTGTTTTGAAATGCAATTTATATTCACACATTTATGTGATTCTACCATAAAATGACTAATAATTATTAGAATGTGATTCCTTTCATAAATTGCTCACATACCACTGAAGCGCAGCAGGAGAGCTCAGCTATTTTCAGTTACATATGAACTGGAAATGTCTGCTGTGTGGGTGTTTATGGACAAAGAATGTGAAAGTGAAATGTAGTTTAGTTTGTATTATACTAGACTGCCTCCTAGTGGCACACATGTAACATTACAGCAAACATTAAATGACCTGCAAACAGTAGGTGTGGCCCAATTCCACACAGCATGGTAAAAAAAAGTGTGGTGTTTAGAAAACAAATGTGTTATATCCCTCCATTTCAAAGTAGCTGCAGTATACTTTAACCCCCACTTAGCATATGCACATATCTACAATACTTTGTCTTTAACACACTATAATGCAGCTGTAAGCAGGTAGGACTTTTTTAGTGTTTGTGAATTATCACAAATGTTGACCACACAGCATAGTGTATCATATTGACTGAGAATAAGTTTTCCAATGGGTTTTAAGGCATTTACTAACTATTTACACTGGTACAAACAGTGGGTATATGGGGTATACCCACCTCCCACCATTTTCAATATACCCATCCATCACCTACTCACCATTGGATGCCAGTTGACACACTACACCCACCCAAACACTGTTGCGGA